GGCTAATCAGATTTAACCTGCAAACACCTGTCACTCAGAGAGGCTACAACCCTGATAATGCACAATTTTAGCCTTTATAGTTTTCAAGTCCAGGAGTTATAAATCCTGCTTTTATAAAAGGAGAACATGGCTTAAAAAAGTCTGTAAATATGTCTATGTAACTATAGACTGTATCTATATGTCATTGATACTCACATTTCTATGATACTTTATCAGCCTTACTGACCATTCAAAGAGCTGTAGATTACAAGTTATATATAAAGTGTACATTCATACAGCAATTTGCAATCTATTGCCAAGAACAGACAATCACCAATTAACATGCATACATATCTTTGCACTGAAAGGCTTAAAGAAAGGTCGAGGTAAGAGTTCAAACCCAGAACCTTCTTTCTGTCAGTCAACATGCTAATCACTCCACCACCGGTAGATCCACTTTTGGCTCTCGCCGTCTTGGTATTAGTGAAGCTGAATGTGATGAACAAAAGTGTGAACCCATAAGGTCTGGTTAATCACTACCTTACAAAAGACACACCATAAAGCATGACCTTCTTTATTGTCCTTTTTGACTAACATTAGAAATCATAATTACAAAATGATCATTTTCCCACAGCCACAGTCTGAATTGAACCAGAAGGGTCTGCTTTTGCCGGCTCTTAGAAAGAACAGGTTAAACTTTTGGGTTCACCTTTTAGATGTAGAGTCTACATTGGACTTTCCTATACAGTTTTTGAATTTTACGTGGGGGTGATGGGGACGGGTTGTTCTTGCAGCTAACCTTAAGTGGTCATTCTAGGAACTGTTAACTGTATTCTTTTTATAATGTCTATATTGACTTCATTTTTCAGCCCTGGATCATTTTGACATCCCTTTAGCATTTCCAGTAATATTGCTAAGTGCATATGATTCATGAATTGGCAGAATATTTTGTGCATATATGCATGACTGTAGAATCAGTATGAACATAATACTATGCTGTTTTTGTGATTTAACTGCTTCACCATGATCTTTGCAAATAAAACCAAAATCCTCAGCTGGAAAACTGATTTCTGGGGCACATACCTTTAAACCCTTTTTACATGTCTCCTTTTCTCTT